AATCCCTGAACCATGCGTCCTTGCACTGGACCTGTCTGGACCCTTTGCAAAAGGAAAGGACATCGATGGGGATGAGAAGAAGTATTTCCTGGTTGGATCCTACACGTGGCCGGTCTATGAAGGACATGAGTGGGAGAAAGACGAGGTTTGCGAAGGGAAGCCTGGATGGCCAGTCTTGGAAGAGGAAGAAGCTGAAGGAATTCCTCCTTTGGAGCCAATTCGGGAACCCTGGCAAGACGAATATCCTGACATGGAAGATTACTATCCTCAATCTGAGGCGGAGGGTCCTGGTTCATGAAGATGAAGAAAGGATGGAAGTACATCCGGGAGGAGAACTTGAACCGAGTGAGAAGGAAGAACAAGAAGCCGGAGGAGGTGGAGCAAGGAGATTTGACTGAAGAAGAGCTGAAGGCGAAGAACAAGCCGACCAAAGTCGTCACGATGATGCTCTGTGTTGCGCTGGGTTCAAAGAGTGCACAGGAGGTCTTGGCAGGGACTCAGGAACTCTTCACCCGACTTCGACGGCATGGATATCCAGTTGGTCGGGTTCACACTGATCAAGGACGAGAGTTCTGCAATGGCTCTTTCAGGCGGTGGTGCTTGGAAAGGGGATTGTCGAGGACTACCAGTTGCCCTGATGAACATGCCCAGAATGGAAGAGCTGAGGCGGCCATCAACCCCATCAAGCAGAGGGTGCGGCGACTACTGCATGGGGCTGGGATGGAAGTGTGCTGGTGGCCAGCAGCCGCAAGGCATGTTGTAGAACTGGAGAGACGTCGAAGAGAGAAGATCACCGAGAAGCTACCTCATTTCGGACAGACCGTGGTAAGAAGAGGTCCTGGGAGCTGCAACGTCAAGGAGCTTTTGAGTCCACTGGAGAGCAGGTGAAGTACCTCACACCAGTTCCTGAGGTGTCAAAGGGACATGCCGTCCTTACGGACAGGGGGTTCGTGAAGGTCGTGAGTTACACGATCAAGGACATCAAGGAGCCGGTGAAGGATCAGGACGAGCTGGCACTCGTTGAGGTGACGGCAGATGAAGATCCGTTGAGGTTGAGACGAAGGCTCAGGGAGAAGGCCAGTGTTGCATGCTTGAAGACTCAGGAAGAGGAAGAAGAAGAGAGACAAAGGGTCAATCTCTTTCGGGTTCTTTATGATGAGGAGCAACACATGCTGGGCTCTGAGGCAAGAGAAGTTCCAGCATTGCAGCGAGGCCTAGCTCCATTTCGGGCAGAGCAGGAAGCTGAAGCGACGAGACCTGAGGAAGACGAGATCCTTCAGACACGCATCATTCCAAACGAAGAAGTCTTTTTGAACAAGGCAGAATGGATCGAGGCGATAATGAAGGAAATCAAATCGCTGGAAGAGAAGAAAGCCATCAGGAGGCGGACTCTGCAAGATGTGGCATACTATAGACGTGAACACAGCGACAAGTTAGAAGTCGTCCCAGGGAAAGCGATTCACTCTATCAAGGCCCCGGACGCTCGCAAAAAGTGCCGCTTGGTAGTGTGCGGGAATTACCTCAGTGGCGCGGGAGCGGGAGGAGCCAAGCAGGAGGCGGCACAACTATACGCCGGTGGTGCAGATACCACGTGTCTGAGAGCGGCGTTAGCTGTGGGAGCTCAGAATGATTGGACAGCAGCCCCCCTTGTGCATGGTGGAGGAAAGCAAGAAGAAGAAACTCGTGGCCCTGGAAGATCGAGAAGAAGGAGGGCACCAGCCAATAGAGCAGGATGTGGAGGAGAAGGTGGATCCAAACCGAAGGGAGCGTTTGGTTCTGATGCAACCCCCACGGATCCTGATTCGGTTGGGCTTGGTTCAAGAAGGAGAGATGTGGACGGTTGAGCGAGCACTCTATGGGCTAAGACTAAGAGAAGCACCAAAGCTGTGGGGTGATCACCGTGATGCTCAACTATCGACCATGGAGTTCAAGGTGAACGATGTTCAGATTGCCTTCAATCAGAGCTTCGCAGATGAGAATCTTTGGATCCTACGAGAGAAGGACCGATCAGATGGGTCTTCTGGCCTAGTGCGTGGGTTGGCATTGGTCTACGTAGATGACCTGTTGGTCCTTGGAGATCCTCAAGTGGTTGAAGAAGCAACGAAAAGGGTGTCTCAAACTTGGGAGACGACGGAACCACAGTGGGCCGGAGAAGATCCGTTGCGCTTTTGTGGGATCGACGTCTACAGAAACACAGAGGGCTTCTTCATCAACCAGAGCGGATTCCTAAGGGAGTTGTTGAGAAGACACTCCATGGACGCCAGGGCATCGAATCTGGTGATGAGAACTACAGCTGAACCAGAGGATGAGCCTGGGAAAACTCCGCATGACATTCGAGCAGCACAACAAGCAGCTGGTGAACTACTATGGCTGTCAACGAAGACGAGGCCAGATATCTCCTATGCTGTGAGCCGGATTTGCTCGTCTACATCGAGAGCTCCAATTTGGGCCCTGGAAGCATCCCATCAAGTCATGCGCTACCTGAATCACTCCCAAGGAGTTGGCATTTGGTACCGCAAGAAGTGTGGATTTGGACTGGAGTCGACCAGTGATGCTTCGTTTGCGCCTGGTGGAGGACATTCACATGGGTGTGATCACTTTGTTGGGTGGCTCACCAATCGCATGGAAATCCTCCAAACAGCCTTTTCCAGCGCTGTCCACTGCGGAGGCAGAGTTGATTGAAGTCATTGAGTCAGTCGTCCCTGGGGACAGTGTGAGTTGCTTGGTTGAGGAGATGGCTGGAAACATGCCGAAGGTCCTGAAGTGTGACAACACGGCGGCCATTGCTTTGGGAAGCTCAGCCACCGGAGCATGGAGGACACGCCACCTGAAGGTGAGAGCAGCACACCTTCGATGGAAACTTGAGGCTGGGTCTTGGGACTTGAAGTATGAGCCCGGCAAGGATTTGGTTGCTGACATTGGCACGAAGGTGTTGGCACCAACTCGCATGCAGAACCTCACGCGAAATATGGAAATGGGATGGCGACCAAAAGGGGGAGACAGGCAAGAAGATGAACCAGAAGAAGATCTTCCTGTTGTGAACTGCCTGTGGTTGGAAAACGACTTCAAGAAGGTCGCACAGTTGGTGACGGTCATCACAATGTTCCAGAAGATTCATGGAGCATTGGCCACACAGAACGACACTAAGAAGGAGTCAGGGAATGACGATGGGTCAGAGGTGCTCTACATGTTCGGGGCGATCATGATGATCCTAGGAGTGGTACTGATGAAGATCCTTCAACGATGCCATATGCGTTGGAATCGACCGAGGGAAGATCCGACCATGAGGAGTATAAGGGTGACAGCTGATGGGGCTACATCGAGTACAAGGCCTACTACCAGATCGGTTGGCGAAAGAAGCGGAAGATCCGACACAGTGCAAGGGCATCAAAACCATGGGAGCCACTGTGATGGAAGTACTTCGAGGAGCTCATTGTCGTCTACGAGAGGAAATGAGATTCGATCTGCAGAGCAGTATGATTCCGGAACTCAAGGAACTCAAGGAGCTCGAGGAGATGATCATTTGGAACAGGAAGAACCATGGAGAACCTCCAAACCAGATGGATCGGCCGTCGGAGCAGCATTTGCAAATTTCCTTGACAGGAAGGCGAAGGAGGTTCGCATTGGACCCTCCATGGGAAGCTTGGTTTGCCGAGTCCAGTCAGTGTTTTCACCGAAGAAGGGAATGCAGAGGACTTCGAAAAGCCAACAGAGTTCGAGGGCATCCAATTTGTGGGATCTGCCAGCAGTCCGCACGAGGGCACAATGGCTTGGGGGTGATGGACTTCATCTATGAGGACCAGGTGGGCAACTTCCACACTGACGCGAGGTGTAGAGCTGTCACTGGAGCAATGCTTGAAATCAGGCAGTGCAAACTTTGTAAGGACTACGGCTTGAGCTAGAGGCTCGCTTTTGTAGGATGCTGGTCGTCAGAAGAAAAAAACCTGTCGACCAGGGAGGAGTGCAGGTCTTGAGGACAAGCACAAATCGAGAAGTATACCAACAGCCGTTTTAGCATCGAGAAAAGATCGAGCGATCGGTCAAGCACTATGAATACTTAGACGCGTGAAGCATGTCATTCTGTGATAAAGTCAGTGGGCCCTGCGGCATGTGCTCAGCAATCTCGAGCAAGCGGTTTTCAGGAGATGGACGATCATGCAGGACGAGCAATCTCTGACTATGCCCCGTTGCGGGTCTGTGCTCAACGTGCCCCTCCGCGGGGATCACAGAACCTCTGTGCGACCCTGTTGCCAGACACACTTCGATCCATGCTCGCAAGAGCTCTATCTGTTATGACGTCCACGTGAAGCTAGCCCTTTACGTTACTGAAGCTAGACCTTGACTTGCAGAACAGAAGTCGGCTCAACAGAAGGTTTAACAAGGTGCATTAGCACTTTACGGGTGAATTAAAGTGTCACCGACTGCGTCTTACAATGCGCCCAGGTGCCCCACAGCAGGTACGTTTACCTGATCGTCCAGTGTAGAGCTTCGTTGGCAGAGGCTACAGCTAGAGGTCCCCCTTCCCGCAGCTGAATTTGCTGTACCCGTGGGTGGAAGGACCTAGTATGGATCAACGTGAATCGAATTCCTTAGTGTGGCCAGGATGCTTAGGAGCAGGAGTTGACACACACACACACACAAATGCTGACATTGGACAGTGAACACTCGCGCAACCTTCTGACAGCGTACTTATGCACCGTCCAGTGTTTAGAATGCTTTCGAAACTTTCGAACATGGTTTTAGGTGAGGAGCATGCAGAAAATCCACGCCCTTTTGGTCCAAATGTGTGGTTCGGCCATTTTGGAAAAATGAGCAGGTTCCCAGTGCAAGTTTGTGTCAAAATCTGGTCTATGGGGAGGGGCGCATATATTCATGAATGATGTTCTGAGTATGCAGCAACGGCTTCCATGATGGGCCTTTGAAATGGTCCAGGATAGAAGCACTGGCTCATGTTTGCGGGAAATATGTGGGTTTGAAGCGAAGTTTCACTTTGGCTGTAGGCAATCATGGAGAACCTCACTACAGGCCAGGCGGCTCAATTGTGCCAGAGACGTTTCTCACACGCTATCGCAAGAAGGAGGGGCAGTTTTGTCGTGTTCGAACCAACGACCCCCCCAAGGCCTGCTATACATTGTAAAACAATGACCGAACAATGGAAAAACACAATGACCAAGTTCATTCCTAATTTTTCGATCCTGTTGACCTTAAACGTGTGCAAGGTGCAGTCCTGAAGGACAAGTTGACGAACATCGCGAGCGACCTCATGAGCAAGGACGGCCACTTGTGCCTGTCGAAAGACAAGTGAACACTTACAACAACTGTCAGGGATGGCGTTTCTTGAACTTCCGACGAACAATCTTGTTGTCTCAAACTTGGCATTGTCTCCAGTGAGCCTTGGTGTATCACCAGAGTCGAGTAGTATGATGACATGGCGCAGCGCTGTGGTCACATAGAATCACTCATGTTTCTGTGGTGTTTGTTTTGCCGGACTGTATCCTACAGAGCTGTTGAGATGACAGTGGGCGTGCAAAAAGGTGTAGGGACCCTTGGAGAGTGTTGTTGAATCGTGCTCGTTTTTGGCGTTGAAGTTCTTGTTCAATATGTTTGTCGCTCTGGAAACCATGCCGTGTGGATTCAAGCAGGAAGGCCAACAGCTGCGCCACATGCAACTTTGCACATTGTCCGGAGGTTGACCATACGGTGCAAAACTTGGGCAAGACCAAGCCATCCGAGGACGCGCCCATCACCTTCAAGGTGGATAAACGGTGCAGAGTTCCCGTTGGGTTTTGTGGCGCAGGACGCGCTGCCGCAGAGTTGAAACAGCGGTTTTCCGGGGGCAGCTGTTTTTTGCCTTGTGTACGACACAGCCAATGCAGCATCGTGACCCCGATTGCTTGTGCAACTCGCTGATCAAAAAAAACGGGTGCTGTTTGCGTGTGACGTGTGCCCTTTAGGCGGAGGTTGTCAAGTTGCCCATGGCCAGGTGGTGCACCGTGGCGGCGCATTGGTTCGAAGCGGTTTCGAGACTACATCGTCTCAGGCCAGGGAGCGCCAGCCCACTTGTAGTCTACTGCACGGGTTTGCTCCTAGTGACCGGCACTGTCCACCAAAGAACCCCTTCGCGTGTATACCCAGTCCGGCAACCCCTCTACAAGACAAGGTGCAACGTTGTCGTCGCAGACCTTCCATGATCCCTCATGCCCCAATCGAATGGCCGCACGATAGTGGCCATTGATGGAAGGCCCAAGGTGGGCAACAATGGCCACGACACTGTGTGGCTGCCACCAAGCCGAGAGTCCTGTGTCCTCGAAGACCGGGACGTAGAAGATCTCATCATGTGCCACATGTGCAAAATGACCTAAGAGGCAAGTGGAGTCGATGCACCGGTCGACGAAAAACGGTTTGGGTCACCGCCACAACAACAACAATTCTTGCCAACTAAGCTGTTTGCGGTCTAAGAAGGTGGAATTTTCCTTTCCTTGCCCTGGCGGTCCGTAGGTGTTTGTCTTGCATTGTATGTGTCTAGAAACGGTTTCCACCAAGAAACGAAGGTGTATTGGAACAACGTGTAAGAAAACTCTGATCAAAACGGGGTTCGATGTGGCTCTTGAATATGTGGTAGGTATTATCATGGATGACAGATGGGGAAAAGGTGATGTGGGAGCAAGCATCCGAGGATCCTCCAATCCCACGACTCGAAAAAACTTAAACGTTGAGGAGTTCTTAGTGGGCAGCGCCTGAACCGGAAGGGTCTTTTAGAATGGTTCTTTAACAACCGGGCTTGGCTTTACAATCCCACGTCTCATGGCCGTCCCCTGTGGGTGAAAGACGCAAATGGGTTGATATATATATATATATATGTGCAGGGGACCTTGTGGGTCTATTTCGTCGTTCCTCTAAACAGCCGATCCACACCGATTCGTTCTGTCTCTCAAGGCTACAGTGGTTCCAGAGTGAAAGGCACAAACACAAACTAGACGACGAGTGGCCCGAAAGCATTTTTCATCAGGTAGGAAGTCAGAGTGCGAGTTATCCGGTAAGTGTGCAGTGAGAAGTGTGAAGTCGAGTGAGTTGAGGTAGTGTGTGGGTTTCTGTGCGTGTGTCTATGTCCGTGTGGAAATGAGTCTGCGTATGTGTGTGTTCGTGTAAGTTGAGGGAGTGTGTGGGTGTCTGTGTGTGATGCGGCCTCCCAAACCCCCCACCGGCGGCCAAGCGGTGACAGCCCAGCTCATCGTCGTGAGCATTTGGGCTGCTGGTAAGGGGACAATGGCAGCCAGCGTGCTGGCTTACCCACTTCAACTATGATGGCAGCCAGCGTGCTGGCTTTGCCATCT